TAAGATCGAAGCCACATGACGGAGTGAGCTCCCGTCGCTTGTCCCAGCTCCTGCCAACCTAGCCGTTCGAAAGCATGTAAAAATGCGAGTAAATAAATAGGTACCACCACAGTGGGAAGGTCGCGGCGTTCTGTGTCTAGTCGCACTGGCCACGTGACCACGGAAACTGTCTTCGGACAAACGCTGGCTCTACGGCTCAGAGATGGAGATGAGCACCGCACCCTAGAGTCGGACACAACTGGACTAAATATCAAGGCGAACCTTTACCTATGGCAGCCTATGTAGTGGGGAGTGTTTCAAATTAGATTCAGAACCATTTCATTAGCTTAATATTTATTCGGAGTTGAGAGTAAGCCAGAGGTTTCCAATAAATAAGTTGAGGGCAGTTTTGTCTTGAATTGTTCGTAATACAAGGTATATAATACAATACCTTGCACATTACAAGATGTAACTCAGGATAGATTACAAGGTTTTTTTTTCTCTTGGTGATCCCTTCGGTACGGAAAGGGCAGGCTTTCTGATGGCAGAGCGCTTCTGAAATTAAGGGGAAAGCTGCAGATACTGAATCCGGGAACCCCTAGGGCAGCGTGGGTTGTGTCTCTTGGTGGGTTTTCAACAGAATTTGACACGGTGTGCGGGCGTGTGTTTTCCTACAGCCATCCGAAACCAGAAGGCCTTGCAGCTGCCAAAAAGCTCTGTGAGAATTTACTACAAACAGTAAGTCAAATGTCTTACTATTTGGACAAATCACATGAACCAACCAACCTTCCTTCCTTCCTTCCTTCCATCCATCCATCCATCCATCCATCCATCCATCCATCCATCCATCCATGCATCCATGCATCCATGCATGCATGCATGAAGTTAGCGGACATGAACATACCCAGGTGGAAGTTCAAAATGACATTTTACGGGAGCGATGAGCACTTGATTCATTTCATCGTGAAGGAATATAACAGCTTGGTCTTCTCTGAGCGGGGCCTTCTAGTGTCCCGTTAGCATGATTGGTATCATGGACCCTCTGTATTAAAACTGAAGTGTCTGATCCTGCTAGATCTCTCCCAAGGTCCATGCTGAATACTCGCGGTTTGTGAATCAGATAACCACGGCGGTCCCCCTGACAGGTGTGTATTGGCCGTGCGCAGCACTTAACTTGTTTTTTTTTCCCTATTGTTTTTAGCAGGAGAAATAAGTAGGAAAGGCCAAGGAGGCCTCGTGGGAACGATGGGGTTTGAGGACTTTGAAAAGAAAGTACATAAGATTTCCTCCATCTGTAGTGGGAGGCGGAGAACTTTTGTTGGTTATTAATTAAACGGAAAGGCCTTCTGACGTCAAAAGAAGCAATGCTGTTTCGCAAGGAGAATGGGGCATCATAAATGAAATAAACGCAGCATGTCTTCAGAGGGTCCCAACGGAGGGAGGCGCTTTGTTTATGTAGGTCAGGATTTTTTTGTTTGTGTACTTTTTTCGTGTGTTTTAGGGGCAGTTGGAAAAAAAATTGGGGGGGGGAGTTTAAGAAACAAACCCTTTTATATATGAAAATCTGCAACTTCTCTTCCCGTCCAGGCTTCACGCAACCGGCGACTCTGGCCACCGTTCCCCCGCAACCACCGTATTATCCGCCCAACGGCTTCCAGGCTGGCTACCCCGTGGTCCCGCCCCCTCAGCAGCCCGTACAGCCGCCTTACGGGGTGCCAGGCATCGTGCCGCCAGCGGTACCGTTGGCTCCGGGGGTGATGGCCCTGCCCACCGGAGTCCCGCCGGTGCCCACCCAGTACCCCATCACGCAAGTGCAGCCTCCCGCCAGCACAGGGCAGGTAAGGCCGTGGGGCCGTTGGCAGAGGACCGCCCTTCCGCTTGCATGCGTTGATCTGCTCTGTGCGTCCCGTCTCCCCAAGCGTCTTTTGAGAGGGTGGTTGGGGCAGGTTTTGGGGGGGCGTTGTTGTCCCTTTAAAGAGGGGTGAACACAGCGTGGTCCCTTAATGTTGTGAGACACCATCTCCCGGACTTCATTGTCATGAGAGACGTGCTCTGTCAACCCCAGTCTTAAAGAAAAAATGGAGGACAGTAGGACCAAAGTATCCACAGTGGATCGGTTCCAAGCCCCCCCACCCCCGCGGATGCCGGAAATAGCGGAAAAATGAAGCACTTCTAGTTTCTCAATGAGTAGGTTTCAGTTAAGCCGCCTTTATATAGCATAGTCTCTGGTTCCATCTTTGGAAATGTGTATTTCTGGGGTTTATGTTTTTTTTCAATTCGTTTATTCTTTCTTTTTTTTTCAGGCAGTAGATAAGTGAAACCGTGGGTACTGATCCCACGGATACGGTGGCCCCTACTGTATTTATTTGGTTGTGACTGAGACTTTCAGGGTGCTTCTCTTCCTCCCTAGTTCAGGGGCTGCACTTAAGCGGGAACAGGGCTGTGTTCTGTCATCCATTGCCTGCCAGGTGTTGGGCTCCAACTTCCACCCTCTTTCCTCCTGCACCGTGCTGGTTGTGGCTGATGGGAGTCGTAGTCCAGCACTGTCTTGGTGGGGAAGGTCCAGTGGGGCCCCACCCCTGCTTGCATCTTCATTTCTGTTGGGTGGGGGTGGGATCTCCCTGGCCTATGCCAAGCTTGGGACTTGGGGTTGACCAGACGGGGGTTGATGGGCTATGTGGTTCTCCCTCTCTCTGTTTTGCAAAGCCACTGCACGTCTTGCATTTTTTTCTTGTTTAAATCTGTCTTTATTCCAGAATGCTTTTTTTCTGTTCTCTCTTCCCCCCCGCTGCCACCCCATCCTTTCTAGACGCCGCTGAGTGCGCCCTTCCTCCCCACCGCCCCCGTCAAGACGACTTTGCCGGCTGCCGCACAGCCGCCTCTGCAGCCCCCTCAGCCCCAGCCGGGACAGAAGAGGCGCTTCACCGAGGAGCTGCCGGACGAGCGAGAATCCGGGCTGCTCGGATACCAGGTGGAGTGATACACTGTCGCCTTAACGCCAGCGCCCCCTCTCCCTCTGCTTTCCATAGGGCTGGGCCCGTGCCAGGTTCATTCCCACAGAGAAGCTCCCTGCCACTGTCTTCGTCTACAGGCCCCGGTTGCCTCTCCTAGTCAGCACTATCCTGATATGCCGCTCTGGCCTGCGGGTGGGATAATGTGCGGATAAGGCCCCCGAGTCCAGGAGTGAGCCTTCCAAAGAAGACTCAAGCCTTCTTGGTTCTTTTTTTTAAAATCAGCAACTTTCAGTGGGGAGGGAATGTGAACGACTGGATAGCTCTGTGGTTCAGGCCTCTTTCTGCGGACCCGAAGGTTTGTTCCCCCCCCCCCCCGGCCGCGTTTGCGGGGCGGGGTGTGGTCGTCCATCGGATCCCTTCCAGCTCTGCTGTTCCAAGATTATTAGCATTCTCCCTCCTTTGTAGTGCAAAAAGGAGCTTTTTAAGGCCCTAAAAGACAGAGTGCCACCAAATGTGGCCCCCAGTACCTTTTTTCCTTGGGTGTAACCCTCTGCAACCACCCAACTTTGGCCTTCTGCTAGAAGAAGTTTGAACATGAGGAGAAGTCCTCTGGAAGTCCCCCAAGAGTTGTGATTTTGATATGAAATAACAGTTTTAATTCCTCTCCCCCCCAATGCAACAAAATTGAAAGAGGAGTTCTGGAATCTAGAAGGGACTTATTCCCCCCCCCTTCAAAATATTCACCTTTTTATAGGAGTGGAAAGTGGGTATTGGACCCTCCAGGGCTTCCCGCTCCTCTGTTGAAAGACACCCTTCCCAAATCTGACACGCCAGGCGTTTCCTCTTGTGACTCCCGGCAGCCCAGCTTAGCCATTGAGTGCTCTGGAACATGGGAGTTGTAGTCCCAAACCCCAGATGAAACAGACTTAAAACATCGGCTCTCTGATATTTGCGGTCAAGGGAAATAATGCATTAAAGGTTTGTTTCAGAAAAGCGTTAGATTCTGGAAGGCTTGGGGTAGGTTTCGAGTGAAGGACGTCTTAGGTAAATTAGAAAGCAATAGGTTTAAGATTTAGGATTCTGATGGAGGACAATCATTATACATCCCCAGTTATATTAATCTAGTTTTACTACAATAAATTTTGGGGTTTGTATTGAAGGATATCGATGCACATTTGGACGATAGTCTTTTGGCACTGAAAACCAAGAGCGTTGCGGCATCGTAATCATTTTGTCAGATAAAAGCGGCCTGCGGTTCATGACCGTTCACGCTGAGTAAAACTTGGTCATCCTTAAGACAACACAGGATTCTTGGTTGTTTTTGCTGTAAGAGACTAACACCAGTATCCTTGCGGGTATGTGTGCCCAGAGGGATTGTAGCTGAAGAAAACAGCAGCTAATCTTTCTCGGGGTTGAATTTCCCTGTCCTTATTAAAGGCTAAGCTTACACTGAGAGTTTTTCCCAGTGTTTTACCTGTTTGAGAGAACAAAAATTCTTTTTTTAAAAAAAATCATTTACTTTTCAAAAATGTCCTGTCTTTCTTGTGTGTTGACTAAAATATTCCCCATTCTTCTGAGATGCGACTCAGAGGAGCGTGCGAGGGAGTTCCCGGCTGTTCTCATTTAATAAATATTTATCTTCTGCCCTCCATCTGCAACGGGCCCCCTCGGTTTCAGCCTTAACCCCTGTACTTCAGCCTTAACAAGGTTGGGGAGCAGATCAGGAAATATACCAAGCAAAGAAATAAATAATCAATAGGCTTATTGCATCAGGAATAATGAGCCAGAATGAAGCTTAGCTTGTAGAGCCGGGGTCCCCAACCCCAGGCCTCCAGATGTTCTTAGACTTCAGCTCCCAGAAATCCTGGCCAGCAGATGTGGTAGTGAAGGCTTCTGGGAGTTGTAGTCCAAGAATATGTGGAAGCCCGAGGTTGAGAACCACTGTTAATGTAGACAGGACGTAGTTTTGTCAATGATATTCCCAAATGCCCTTCAAAACAACAAGGTTGTCACTTCTTTTGAGACTTGCAGCTTCGTTACATTAATTGATGATGGGTTTGGGGGGGGCGTTTTGGTGTTTTAGGCTTTTTTTGTACTGCTGATGGTTTGCAAGTTTTGGAGGTTTTTTTAAATTTGGTCCTTCTCAACTGGGTAAAATCAGCCTTCCAAAAAAATATCAAGAAAAGTGATGAAGCTTTCCATAGACATCAGTTGGGTGGGCACGTAGAGATCTTAATTTACCCGTATCTTTCGCTCCATAAGACGCACCTTTCCATAAGACGCACCAATTTTTTAGTAGAAGAAAACAGGAAAATATAATCTGTTTTCTTCGCTCCATAAGACTCACAGACTTTCCACCCCCCTGTTTTGTGGGGTAAAAAGTGTGTCTTATGGTGCGAAAAATACGGTATTTCCTGCCCCTCTCATTTGCCTTTCCTGTTTTAGAGCAGCATGCAGAGAAACAGAACACAGAGAGAGAAACAGATGAATAATAATAATAAAAACAAAAAACAACCACAGCAAACATTCACAAATCTATTCAACAAAACATCAAGCGAAACGTAAAATCTCAGTTATGCTCATAGTTTTCAAACTGGGACATCCGTTCGATGAGGCATGAGCTTCGTTCCTGCCTTTGTGCCACCCGCTTGGCCCCAGGAAAAGTGAATAGAGAGGGCTCTTGTGGTGCTTTAGCGCTCATGTGAAAACTAGGTGGGGGCTCTCCTGCAGATTGTCATTAAGGAGCTAATAGCCGGCATCCTCGTCTTAGGTTTGCTAATGCCACTGTGTTTTTCTGCTCATAGCATGGACCCATTCATATGACTAATTTAGGTACAGGCTTCTGCAGTCAGACTGAGGTGGACGGAGCAGGCGCGAAGCCGGCGGGTTCCTCAGGAAAAGAGCGAGAGAGGGACAGGTAGGTGGCCGGTCTTGCCCAGCGGTTTGCCGTGACCAAATTTCATATATTGGGGGTTTGGGTGGACCAGGGGGGAGGTTTTCCCACTTGCCTGATGGAGCTTTGAATAGCCTGCAAGAACAGTGAATGTTCTCGCTCGTACAGCACACCGTGTTTGAGGGTCACAGAAACGCAGGAGAGAACTGCATGGCGGGGGAAAAGAGACCAGTTATGTCCTTGATCGGTTGCATTAGGACTCCCTTATCCGCGGGATCGGTATCCACTGAATCACTTAACCACGGTCAATGAAACTTGGAACACCCAAAGCAGTTTAAACTCTGGCAAATCCATTCCTTGCACCGAGGATGGGTTTTCAGAACGGAGGAGCACAGAGACGCTATGTTAGGAGTCATCCTAGCTTGGTAGAAGCGGGAATTCAGATAGGAAGAGAAGTTCCTCTCACCATTCAAGGAAGGAATTCATAAATTAAATTTCAAAAGCGTATTTGCTATGGGTTTGCCACGATCCACATTTTTCAGTATCTGTGGGAGAGAGCTTGGGATCCAGTCCCTTGCAGATAATGGGAGTCCTGCTGTACTTGATGTCCTGTATCAGGGTACCATTGTTAATGTCCTTAGAATGCTGATTATTCACCCC